TTTAGCTTTTTCATGGCCGTGTCACAGTTGTGACTCTCAGTACTCATGGGATGAACTAGTACCCGTGGACTCTTCACCTCTGTCATTTCCAGGAGCTGCCAGCTCACAGCAGAAATTCTCAGTATTGGTTAACCCAGCCCCTGGCCTTGTATTTCACACTATTGAATTTTGTCTTGGCTTTCTCACTCCAGTTCTTGAGGTCATCTAGTTTTTCCTGTATGATAGTCTGATCTTTCTTTCTATTGAGGGTGCCTCTACAAACTTCAGTGAGGCCTTCTGAACACTCTCTTCATTCTGTACTGAGTCATTTATAAAAATTGTATGGGCGTAGGCTTAAGACAGCCTCTTTAGGGGTCAGTCTGGGAATATCTTTGCTTTAGCCAGTGCCTTCCCCACCTCAGGGCTGCTGTGCAAATCCAGTTTGTAATTTCCCATGTGGTACCTTGGTAGTGCTTCATAAAGCACATACTGGGGCTGCCCCAATTCCCTCAGTAGTTGTCTTAGCAGAGGAAGCTCTTGTGTTAGTCACATGTGATCAACTATTGATGATATTTAAAATTTTTCCTTCATTTACTTTATTGTACTTTTATGTTCTTAAACAGTACAGTAGCATTAACGATGGACCCCTCTAGTATAATTTCTGAGTTCTACGTATTGCTCAAGCACTGAACAGAACTGGTCCCTGCTACAGGGAATGAATTACAACTCTATTCTTTATTTTCTCTAAGGACTTGCAATGGCTTGAGTTCATAATGGGTCTGTTCTGCCCAGTGGTTTCACATCTCTGTTTCATGTCTTTGATTTCTCTGGTTTGATCCAGAATTGCAACTCTGGCTTCTACCTCTAAGGCAGAGTTCATACATTTGTGCACAGTGTGCAGATATGGAAAATACATATTTAATGTTGATGTAAAAACCCAGCTGTGTCCATTTCTAAATACACATCCTATAACCTAGTGTATACATCAGTGAATTTCAGATCTTAAAGGTTAAAGAGATTTTAAGTATTGCTAAGCTTTGCTGTGCTACTGCCTGTTCCTCTTTGCTCCAGTCCTAGAGGGCGAAGGTCCAGCTCACCTCACTCAGCTCAGGCTTTGCCTCTCCTTGCTGGGTCAGACTTCTTACCATAATGCTGTTGCACTTATAAAACTTAGAGGTGAAGAAGGAAAAGGGAGGAGTTTGGAGAAGTGTCATAGAAATCTAGGAATAATTCACTGGTAGTCACCACTGCAGCTTGGATGTTAAAATACTGACTGGTGTATGTCTGTCCCTGGGAAAATCATCCACAAGACCAAGACCATGTGTGGTAAAATTCTGGTCCTCTCCTGATTCTATTCATTGATTATTCAGCCTCAGGGTTGGGTTTTTTTTTTCCCCTCCAAGAGTTTCAGATCCTATCCTCAGTTATTGTTCATCCCTTAATTACCAACAAGAGGATTTTGGGCTGGTGACAGAAGACAGCATGTGACCATAAGGCTAGGGAGAGTTGTCCCTTGTGAATCCTGAGTAGAGACTTCAGAGAAACCTAACACTTGTACTTTGTTCTTCTTTATAAATAACTATAGTTTGGCTAACAGAAGTGTTTGGCTTCACATACTGTGCGTCAGATCTCATTTTGTTGTGTGAAATGCAATCCTAGACAAAAGATTCAACTGCATTTTACATTAAAAATGTCTTTGCTTTGTAAGAGCATAGATGGACAGCTCTGATCACAGGAGCAGCACATCCCAAGCTGAGTCTTCTCTCCCGTAGCCGTTACAAGGTTCACATCAACACTTGCAGTTTCAGACTACTGAGAGTCAATGACTTAGGTTTTGGTTGGTCTCTGTTTTAAACTTCCCTTAACAGGAGGGATTGAAAAAATGAAATACACAGTACACATACATAGACAAGTTGGTCTTAAGGCAGTCCAAGGGCCCATCCCCAGGCAGGGGATTGATTAATGTGATGTTAGTTCTCAGTGCTGTGTGTCTCTGCTTTCGTGACTTTCCTGGTGCCAGCATGTGGCATTAGACTTGTGATAATGACTGGAAGGAAGACACATTTATTCTTGCATAGTGGGGGGCTTTTCAGTCTCACAGACAAAGGCATAACAAGATCCAGAAACTGAAAGTTGGACAAATTCAACCTTGAAATAAGACACAGTTTCCTAGCTGCAGGGAAAATTAAGGTTTGGAACAGCTTGTGACAGGAAATGGTGGAGTTGCCATTGCTTGGAGTATAGACATGTTTTGCTGTCTTTCTGAGAAGAGTTTCTTTAATCCAGCATTTTGGAAGAGTTCTGTGATCTGTGTGTGTAGGAGGTCCGTTGAAGGGAGTATATCACTGCTGTCTAGTCTTGGTGGGTGAATTACTGGATATGATTAAATGACCTTTTTGGTTTGGGTCAGTGAACCTCTATAATAAGAGGATTGGCCACAACATGGAGAGGGCTGTGAGACAAAGCAATATCTTAGAGAAAATAAAGATTAACATCTGCCTTACTGTTTGACTTTTAATAATTAAAGTATTGCTGTTCACCAGCTGTGTGGTTAAAAGCTATATAAATGTTAATAACAAAAGTATTTCAGTAGCAGAAGAGGACTTGGATTCTAAGCAGAGCTCTGTTTTTTAAGGACCTTTCTCTTTTCAGTGTTTGTCATTGTTCCATGTATTCTTCATTAGAGCCCACTTCGTATTGATCCTCCTCTGGAAGGTTGTAGAAATGGAAAGTGCCTTCGACCACTGCAAAGTGCAGCTATAACACACTGCTGCAAGTGTTACTATTTTTAGGTCCCAGGGGAAATCTGAAGCAATGATTATCATTATATTTTCATTCTCTTAGCCTTCAACAACAAATTGTAAAGGCTGTGTTCAAACTGCTGGCTTCAAAGATCCTGAAGAGAGTTCCAGAGAGACAGCAATGTGAATTACTCCATGAAATTTTGATTTCTAAGATCCACCAAGTCTGAATATGTGCAAAATTTAGGGGATTTGAATGCAGCCCTAAAATGTCTGTGTGTTTCCAACACAATCATCTATCCAACTGTTTTATTTCAAGGAGGTGCTCTCAAAATGTTCCTGCAGCTTTAATAGTGGTAGGTAAGATTCTCATGTGTCATTAGAATTTGCTGAACTTTGCTGTCATTGAAGCCAACAAACAGGAAAACCTTCTCAGTTCTTCAGTGGCAAAAGGATTAGGCCTGTAGTGAGTGCTTTTTGAAGTCAAGTTCGCTTGCTTCTATGTTCACAAGGATTAGAGCTTTGCAGTAATACAGCGATCGCCTACATAATCATAATTTATGGCAGACCTGAGTATTCAGTAGTAAAGTATTGGTATCTGAAGTCTCTTGAGAAATGGCAGGATTCAGTTGTTCTGCTCCATCCCTCTCCTGGTTTGAATCCTGTTGAGAAATCACTAGATGGTCTTTGGTAAAGAATATAATCTTTCTTTGCCTCAGGTGCCTTGTCTGCAAAATGGGAACGTACATGTTTTTCAAAAATCCGTTCAGTTTCTCTCCTGCTTTTCATACATGGGAGCATCTGGCAAGGTAAAGATTAGAATGACTCATAGAACGGTTTGGGTTGGAAGAGACCTTAAAGCTCATCCAGTTCCAGCCCCCCTGCCACAGGCAGGGACACCTTTCACTAGACCAGGTTGCTAAAAACCTGCTGGAGTTGCCTTGCTGGCAGGGCAATTGTGCTAGCTGGTTCTCCAGAGCTTTGCTCTGTGGAAGTGCTGCAGTAGCTGACTGAAGTTTCAATTTGTTTACCAGGAGGTTAAGCTTTTCTTCATGTATGGCTCCAACTGGAGGTGCCATGTGTTTGGAAATGAAAAGGAACCGTGAAGGTCATCTTGTAGAGGCTCTTTTTACATGAGTTGGGTTGATGCTCTGGGTAGGTTGATGGTACAACTATCAGGATAAACAGCCAAGTGGATTCTGTCCCTTTAGGTGTTTCTTCTCAGGTCTAAAAAGTCTTCCCATTCATAGGTATAATGCACGAGCAATCTTACCCATTTTTGTTCTGTGAATCTGCAGGGTTTCCCCACAGGCACAGAGCGGACTTCATGCACCCGGGCCTTCAGGTCCACAGTGAATAACAGGGAGGGATACTCAGAAGGAGCTCGGGCTGCTGGCCCATGTAGTGTGAAGGTACCTCTTTATCTAGGACTAGGTGCTGGCTGCAGTCATGGACAGAACTCCAGGGCACCTAGTGCCTAGATGACAATGTATGTCATCTAAAATTCCTTCAGAGGGAAAAAGAGAATAATTTCCTGTGTTCATGAGCACTGTTTTCTGCAGTGTTCCTTTGGAAACAGGGCTGGGAGAGGTGCTTCCCTGTTGGCCAACCTCCACAAGTCTCAGCAGATACAGTACTGCCCACTCCACATTCACTGCCAACACCCCCTGTGCAGATGAGCTTGGGAGGTTGCCACTGAATTCAAGGATGGAGCCAAAGCTAAATTTTATTTCTTTCAGAGAGGAATTACAGAAAAGGTAGTGGCAGGGTTTTTGTACAGTGTTGTGAGGAAAAATTTCAGACCAGTCAACAGAGCCACTGGGTTTTAAAGGGCAAACTCCTTTCTTCCAGCTATTCTGCAGTCAGAATGCTGCAGCAGTAAGGAACTGAAAAGAAAATGGCTTGGATTTTTCATTGTCCATCAACACAACAAACATACTAAGCAATGCCAAATTAGATTGAGTTTTACTAATCAAAATTATTGATGAATTAATTGATGTCTTTTTAAACCAGGGTTCCTTTTAATTGAGCTTTTTGAGGCTTGCCTTGGTTATTGAAAACCTTGTGCTGCTCTGATAACGGTATGAAAGTCAGTAGCTTTAAGAGCTGGGAGGAGGACAGAGCAGGTAAGAGGAGCACTTTGTCATTGTATCAGTGGTTTTGTGTTTACAGTTCATTAGTCTATGTTTAAAAATACCATGCTGCCAATTTAAATCACAGCTGGAGTCATACGAAGTTTGAAATTATCACTTGCTGAACAAAATCCTTCTTTTGCTTTAGCTTGCAGATTCGCTTGTGCCCTTGGAGATTAAGCCTGGTATTTCCTTAGCAACAGTTTCTGCCGTGTTGCATACTAAAGACAACAAGCATGTGCTGCAGGTACAGTATAATGGGAAAAGGAGAAAAATATCCTTACACTGGGTTTCCTGCCATCTGGGACCCCAGCTGTTCTCATGAGACAACCCCTTCAACAGCTCTTTTCCTATTGGAGCACAGTCAGATGCTTTGTCCTGGCATGTGCAAGTGAGGAATTACACTTAGAGTAGAGAGTGGGATGCAGATAAATCTCTACCCTCTTTTTACTGGCCACGTGCCTGGTGAAGATAAAAAGGGAAACGAGATTATTCCTGAAGAGAGGCTACAAATCATTCTGCTCTCCTCTATAACCCACCCACCAGGATCAGCGTTATCCTCCCATGGACTTAGAACTGAGGGTGAGAGGAGAGAGATGACTTAAAACATCAGACGTGTGAAGGGTCTGTCTGTCTTCCTTAAATTGCCCTGTTCTCTAAGAAGCAGATTGCACATCCTTGTGCAAAGAGTGTACATTCTCTTTCTACCACCTCCTTTAGCCTGACACCGCAATTCATGGCAGTAGTCCTCTGCAGAAGGAGATGTCTGGTGGACCTGCTTAGTGGTGGATGCCCTGATGCCTTTTCTCCTTTGACGCATAAGCATGCAGGGAACTTGGTGAAGCCACACTGCATGCTGCTGCTTTTCTCACTGGGCAGCAGAGCAAAGCTGCACTTGGGAAGAGGGGCCAGTGTGGCAATGTCTTTAATGCTGGGATGTAAAGATCATTGAAGGATTTATATCGGTGCAGAGCAGGCAGTCTTACTTTTTCCGAGTCAGTTCCCTTGCAACACTGGGTAACACTGAAAAAAATGGAATATTGCAATCCAGTTGATCTGAGACCGCTTTCTCTTTTGTGGTGGTCATTTAATCTCTTCTCTACTGATCCTTGATACCAAATAAATGTGGACCTAGCCTTAAAATGCAGAGCCCCCATAAGTGGATGAGGTAAGCCAGCACAGCAGTATCTGTCAGTATTGGCTGAGCCTGGAACCTCTGGGAGTTACAGAAGTTGTGCGTAGACAAGCCTCAAAAACTCTATCTACAAACACAGAACCATGTGAATGATTCATGCGTAAATAACATCATGCATGCACGTAGGCACACCAGCTAAAGGGAAAATGGTGGGGTTTGTGAAGTGAGTCAAGTGCGTCCCTGCTTGTGGAATTGGAGCCTAGCAGATGGCATTTCTCTCCTAAGGATGAAAAACAGCCTTCCCTGGCTGTTGAAAGAAACATGGGGACATCACCACAGCAGGTTCAGACATGATGCTACATGATGGGAAAGATCCAGAGTTGAAAGGAGACCAGGCTGTCACCTGGAGAGTACTGGGTGCTACACAGCACTGGAGTTGCTTCAGGCAAATTCCCCGTGTGTCATGCAGACGCACCCCTATCAAATAGTCTTCCCAAAATTTTGGGAGAAATTTTACCAGCACCTTTTTCCCAGGGACTGAGTTGCTAGTTCACTGGGAAAGACCAGTGCTGACACTTCCATAACCTAACAATCCCGGCACAGGGCACATGAACCTAGAATCATGGAATCATAGAATAGTTAGGGTTGGAAAGGACCTTAAGATCATCTAGTTCCAACCCCCCTGCCATGGGCAGGGACACCTCACACTAAACCATGTCACCCAAGGCTTCGTCCAACCTGGCCTTAAACACTGCCAGGGATGGAGCGTTCACAACTTCCCTGGGCAACCCATTCCAGTGCCTCACAACCCTTACAGTAAAGAATTTCCTTCCTTATATCCAATCTAAGCTTCCCCTGTTTAAGTTTCAACCCATTACCCCTTGTCCTATCACTACAGTCCCTAATGAAGAGTCCCTCCCCAGCATCCCTATAGGCCCCCTTCAGATACTGGAAGGCTGCTATGAGGTCTCCACGCAGCCTTCTCTTCTCCAGGCTGAACAGCCCCAACTTTCTCAGCCTGTCTTCATACAGGAGGTGCTCCAGTCCCCTGATCATCCTTATGGCCCTTCTCTGGACTTTTTCCAACAGTTCCATGTCCTTTTTATGTTGAGGACACCAGAACTGCACACAGTACTCCAAGTGAGGTCTCACGAGAGCAGAGTAAAGGGGCAGGATCACCTCCTTCGAGGTAACTTATTTTACATGATAATTTCCCCACTGTTCTTATAGGAATCTGGTTTTCATCTCCATGAAATGATCTTTCAAAAGTGCTTAGTTAGCTCCACACCGTGCCTGCACATGCAGCAGCATACTGCACTGGGTCAGCTACCGCTGCACGTGCTAACCCTGCCTCGCCCTCCCTGCTGATGGAGAAGGGTCTCAGGGATCAGTTAAGCTTTCTGAAGCAGCACAAAGTTACACCCAGATCACACTTCAGTGATTTTTCAGGCACTGCAGCATCTCTCACGCCTCCCTGTCTGTATTCAAGTTCTTCCTAACAGCTCACTTTTCTGAGGCCAGTGAGAAATAAATTAGCCATTCTTCTCATTCCCTGGGTAGTTACTTGCTCTGGATTTGCCTGTTTCTCAACCTGTTACATCTTTTAGAGCGTGATTTTCAAGGTATTGATTTCTTTAAGGCATGATTCCTAGAAAATACCGCAGAGTACTTGAATGCTAAAATAGAAAGCTTCGGTCTTGAGCTGAGTCAGACAGGCCTTTTAGCATGACAGAAATTTGAACAGAACTGAATTTGACAGAAGTTTCAAGATGATGGAGGTTTGAACTAAACCTGCTGACTTATTTCTATAAACGGTAGCTTCTGTGTGCAGAGCTGCAGTGGAGTCCAAGGCTGGATTTCTCCTCTTCAGCACAGCACTGCAATATTCCCCTGTAGTCCCAGAAAACAAAATCAGTATGCCTTTCCTGTCTCATGTGCTTTTCATTCCAACTACATTATAATAAGCTGATCTGATTCAAGCATTACTGTGCACCTTCTCATCCCTTAGCTCCCTCCAAAACCTCCGCAACCTCCTGCCAGCAAGAAGAGAAAGCGAGTGAATGATGACGTGCCAGAGTGTAAACCTTTGAAGCCATTGCTGAGTGGCTCCATTCCTGTGGACCAGTTTGTGCAGACACTTGAGAAGGTATTAAGTCTTTAGTGGCAAGTGAGGTTCAAGCAGATTTCTACTCTAATCTCATAAATGTACTGCTTTACTAGCAGAGAAGGGGAAAATAATTTTCGTGTAGCTTAAAATGGAGAAGAGCTTATAAGCTAGCAGAGTACTTCAGGAAACCTGTATCCCTGCACTGAATATGGAGGGAACAGTTTCCATGGAGAGATGGCCTGATACAGGGGCTTCCTGACAGTCATTTCCTCTTGGTTTCTCATGGAAGTAGAGCTTTTGGGGCCACTCTGGGTGGGTGAATTTTCCCTATATAACTTTTGGATTTATCAGCAATAAATTGAAACAGTGGGGAGAAGGTCGCAAAAGTATTTAAGGTAAGCGAGTGAAGAAGAGATCCTGGAAATGTCTCCACTGTTGTGAAGTTTTCTGGGGAGCTGCAGGACAGGGGCTTGGTGGCTGAACTTGCAGGCAGTTGGTTACTGCTTTGTGGAGCCCTGCTCTCGCATGTGGGATTCCTTGGAGAAAATTGGCAGGAAAAAGGGCAGGATTGTCTGTGAAGAAATTTGTTCTGGAGTTCAGTAGCTCTCCACTATCATCTTCGAGGTAGTAATGTCAGCAGATGGTCATTTCTGTAGTGAAAGGAGCTATTGTCCTCTTTCCCTCTCAGGATTTTGCAATTGCTGTGGAAAAGGTTGGGTTTAACCTCCCTGTTTATCCATCTGTATAATGAGGGTCTGTGTGTGTTTCCTCTGCAAAGCCTTGAGATCTAGGATGTCTGCAGTGGCACTCTTATTTTGTAACCATTTTCCCCTCTCCATCCCCCTGTGCCCTACTCATTTATCTGTTTTCCTGAGTTGTAGTAACATCTCTTTCTTTTAACCCCTCCTCAACGCTGCATGTAGCATGGTTTCAGTGACGTGAAGGTGGAGGACACAGCCAAGGGCCACATCGTACTCCTCCAGGAGGCAGAAACCCTCATTCAGATTGAGGAGGACTCCACACACATCATCTGTGACAACGATGAACCTTTGAGGGTGAAACTGCGTGACCTGGTTCTCAAATTCCTGCAGAAGTTTTAGCTCATGGACGTCGTGCTGCTCTGCAAGGGGGGACCCCAGGGCACCAGAGCTAAGAGCTTTCCAGAGGGTGACCCCAGGGAGAGAAAGGGTTTACTGATTCACAGAGACCAGAAACTACCTTCCCCTTCATGGAGAAACAAGGAAGTATTTTTAATAGCTATCTATTTTTTTAATTTTATTTTTAACTGGTTTTGGAGTATTTTGGAGGGGATTCTTGTTCTGTAAAATTGGGAGTTTGAATCTCACAGCGAACTGCAGAGTAAATAGAGTGTGTATTTACAAGGTGAGGGTGAAATTGTTTGTGTGCCCCACTCAGCAGTGTATACAGTCCTTTACCTGAGGAGACTGTAGGAATATTGAAACAATGGCCATGGATATGAAGAGATTTATTTTTCTCCCCACTGCTTCTACCCGGTCACCAGATCCCATTTCCTGTCTGTCCTCCATCTGCATTGTGCATGTGTATTTCACTGGCATGAAGAGAAATGAGAAAACTGGGGCAAAGATTATTGAAACAAAAATAGGAAAAGGGGGCTATGCTGGACGTGCAGAGTAGCTGGGAAGTGGCAAGATACACGTGTTGGCAATGCAAGGTATTTATTGATGCTGCAGCCTTGCTTGGTGTGACCAGATTTGTCCACCCAGCTCTAGGCTCTTCACTGAGACAGACAGATGGAAGACCAGTTCCTTTGGGGTTCCTCCATCATCAGTGGAGGAAATATCTCAGAAAGGTACAGTCAAAAGTACATGAAGTAGTTAAACTCCTAGCGCTCATGAAAAACCTTTGAGATTCAAGTGCCTCTTGTTTCTACCTTGCAAAACCCTATCCTTCCAGCCCCCACAATCCCAAATCCTGGCTGAAATACTGAGTCATATATGCAAAGCCATCTGTCCTACAGACCTGGGGAGGTTCTTCCCTTCCCAAATCATATATCTGGGGCCTAAACTTAGTTAATAGTATTGCTTTTAAAAGCAACCAGTTTCTTAGATTTACTGCTGTTTTTTATTAGATTGCTTTGTATTTATTTGGTGTTAAAAATAAAAAGCATAGTAAGACTGCCAAGGAGGAAGCACATTCTGTGGTTTATAAAAGCATCTGTGTGCCTCTTCCACATCTGCCTGTGTATGTCTATGCACATTTGTGAAATATAACTACTCCTTCAGTTTATAGCTTTGAGGAGATTAAGGCAGTGGAAGAACAGCTCTGTAATAAAAACTATTTGCTATTGCCTTTTCCACATCACATTTTGTACACAGTAAGGATTCTTGTGCGATCGGGTGTACAGACTCCAGTGTCCATGCCTTTGCTTTCTGTAGATGTCACGGGCATGAGATAAATCGTATCATTAATGTGCTAAAAAACTTGTTGCAGTAGCATTAATCCTCGTAAGAGTTTACAACATTTGCAGTAGCCCAGTTTCTTTATCATACCTCGAAAACCGAATAAAAGAATTGGACATATTTCACTTTGTAATTAAATCTCCAAGGAGATTATTTTGAACATATCTGGGGCTGGGGGAGAGGGAAGAGAGGGCCTCGTAATATGAGTCCCCAAGAGCATTTTTACCTCTGCTTGTTACCCAGACCAGTGCTCCAGAGCCTTATCTTGTGATTATATTCATTTGCACTTACAGTTGTGAGGAACTTCACTTGCTGCTTTAAGAAACCAGACCCAAGGCTGTGTGTCACTGCTTGGTGCATCCCCCATGGCTGAGCATGGGTGTCCCAGCAGTGTGCTGGTGGGCAGAGCATGAAGGCAGTAGTTTCTGCTGGAGTGACAGCGTTAGGAAATCCAAAGTCACTGCGCTTCCATGGAGGACTTGGGAAGGACCTTGCTTATTCTGGGGCAAAGAACAAGGATGTCTAGTTCCCATGGCCCAAGGAGTGAGAAGCATTAAAGCCCAGGTACAAAGAGTCAAGAAGACCTCAACTGGAGTAGAGTGAGTTGCAGCTACCTGTGGTCAAGAGGCAGAACCCAGGAGCTGGGTACTAAGAAATAGGGGGACATTTCTGTCACATTTGTGTGGTTATATGACATGGAGCCCTGCAGTAACAGGGCTGCTGATTCACTGACTTAAAACATTTAATGGAGCTCTGTGTTTCTCTGGCTGCAGGTGTGTGAAGGGCAGGAAGGTGAGAGAGATTTGCTGCCTTTGCTGAAGTTGCACAGTCCAACCAGCTTTGCACATCAGGGGAGAATAACCTCCTCAAGTACTCATCCACCACAGCCTCCTCATACAGAAAGTCAGGATAGACACAGGCTTTACAGATCTCAAGGTATTAAGGAAATATTTAAATGTGAAGAGTGAGACAGACTCTACTGGCTGCAGTCACTGCTCCACAAGAGTGACCAGTGTATAATTGGGCCAAATAAACCCATGGAAGTCTCTCAGTGCTGCCTAACGTGACAGAACTATAGAGATGCAGTCTAGTTCTGCCTCTGATGGATGCTTTTGGATGTGGTCCTGGCTCAATGCCTCATTCTCCCCTTACATGAAATGGAAATGGTACCATCCCCTTTCGCAGGCTACCTTGAGACCGAAAGCTGCTGCGGCAGATGTCATATTAAAAGCGCAGTGGTTTGAAGGTAATTCAGGAACTGGGAGTGGGCTTCTGTGATCATTAACAGGGTTAGCCCTGTACTCAGTCTCAACAGTTAGTTTTTAGCCTGGTTCACTGTTGAAAGGCAACTGATTTGATTGGGCTGTTACACAAAAATCCTGATTTGAGGTGCAAAGCTTTGACTCCTACCAGTAACAGCCCTGCCGGTATTTCATCAGGTCATCTGGTAGCTAATGGCTTTCCAAAGGCTTCTTACATTTTTCTTCTTGTCATTTTGGGCAGGAAAAGTCCTTTACTGCTCCAGTCCAGTGGCTGAAAACTGAGTCATTCCTTATAAACACAAAACTTGAAAAATAAACATGGGGGGAGGAGGGGAAGGAATAGGGAAAGTCTTTAATGAGAAGATCTTAATTAAACCAGCAAAACCAAGTGCTGGTTCATTCTGCACAGAGTAACAAAAATAAATAGCATTTCTTCAGGCTGGGTCAGTCCTGCTGAGGTAACCATGGCAGCCCAGGAGAGCTGTGAGCGGAGGGGGATGGATGGCAAACACATTCTAACCAGACTTGCACACTTTAATGGACAAACAACAGCGAAGGTACTTGGTTTCACACTCTTTATTCCAGAAAGGAAAAATATAAAATCCCTTTGGCTACTGTGTGATGGCCACTGGGCTGTGGCCATCCCCAGTCCCTGTAACCTTATGTGACGTGGGAGCTCCCCATCCTGTGCTGTGTTTCACTGCTGTTCCTCTGCAGCTCACCTGATCAACCCCAAACCGCTATGGGTGCAACTGAGCTGCTTCCCAAGCAGCCGCTTTGCAGGGCTGCTCCTCAGCCCTTGGCAAGTGATTAATTCTCAGTGCGCTTCCCAACCTGTGCGCTCCGGCAGCACAGCCAGGGCTGGGGATGATGCAGAGAAAAGGTTAAAATTGGCTTTCTTCACTTGGATGGCTTTTATGGAACAGCTATTCCTGGATGGAGTGAAGCATGCTGTGTTTTCTTTCTATTAATGTGAGCCTTAATAAAAGCAACTGGACCAAGTCATTTAATTCCAGGCTCATCCTATCCCACATGCCCAGATGCAGCCAGCGGCACTTGGGATCACCTGACCACCTGATGAGTGCCCTGAACCACACCAGTGCCACCTCCTTGGGGACTTGGACATGATGAACAGGTGAACCTGAAGAGAGATGTTAGCCCCACCAACAGTTCAGCCTTAGGGAGGAATGGGGCAGCTGAGTGCAGAGGGTTGGGGTTTCAGCTGCACATCATGGCCTGGGTAGGCTCATGATGGAGAAGGTAAGTTGGATCAAATGGGGCCCCATTTACACATCACATGTGACCCATCACCCGGGACTCATGAACTGTGAGCCCCTCCCATGGGACCCATCCACTGGGACCCCTGGACTGTGAACCCGTTTTTTGAGGAGCCATCACCTGGGACCATGATCTGTTAGAACCCATCCCTTGAGGACCCATCACCTGGGACCACTCACCTCTGACTCCACTAAGGACTCATCACTTGAAAACCACCACCTGGGCCTCATCATTTTGAGGATCCATCACAAGTGGTCTTGTGGCCACAAGTACCAAGCCAAGTCTCTCCCTATGACCTTGAGGTGACAGCCAAGCCTCCCAGTCCTGCTCTCCAGGGCATGCCATGTGGACCTGTGTTCCGAGGAGGCAGCTCTGAGGTCTAGGGGGCATTCTCACTCCTGGGGATGCAGTACTCCTCCCATGAGGACACCTGGGGCCACAAGACACTGCCCAGGAGCTCAGGTCAGCCCTGACCAGGAGCCAGTAGCAGGTAATGTACCCTGGCCACAGCTTTGTTAGAGCCAGACATCACTGGCCTCATCCTACATCTGTCCTGTGGACTGATGCAAGGGAGCAGCACCACAGCAGGCTCCTAAATCAAGAGGGATTTATTCAGCCCGGAGATGCAGTGATCTTCCCAAACTCCGCTTTCAGAAGTCATGGTGTCAGTTTGCTGCATTTTTACTGGCAGGTTGAACAATTAAAGGCTCTCTGCCTTGGCTACAGCCAAAGATTAAAGTATTCCCATCTTGTCTCACTGCCTGCCCCTCGGTGTCCCCAGGACACGCTCCTCTCCTTGTCCCTGAGCACACAGAAGGATGAAGTCTCCAGCTCAAGCATAGCAACCCTGGGCTGCCGCTGGTAATTAAAGCTATGTGAGTGAATGTCCTGAGGCAGAACATAATTCAGTACAATTAGGCCAAGCTGTGGGGTTAGCATGAGCTCCCTGCTGAGAAAACCTCTAACAGCCAGCTAGCTCCTACTGCAGCAATAACCAAAGGCACAAACACTGCCCCCCTCCTGCTAAAACTGCATTATTATGATTTCTTGATGTTAATGGATATGTGGTAACAACAATTGTGAGGGACAGAGCAAGGCTGTGGTTCCATGAAAACCAAGGTGGAAGGAATGGCTGTTACCTCCCTTCTCCTTTTCACTCTTGCAGGGAAAAGTAAAACCAAGCTGTGCTGGGTTTCTGCCACAGCGCTGCTCCAGGGCTTGCTGCCTCCCCAGGGCAGAGCTGGGCCCAGGCTGGTGGTCACAAGAAGGGGTGGTGCTGGACCCAGGGTCATTTCCTTTCTCCATTCCTACATTAAATGACTGGGTTGAAGCACACAGTGACAGTTACCTTTCGCTCGCAGGCACGACACTGAGCACAGTTGAGGTCTTTTATTAATTGCCTGGTTAATAACTGCT